CGGACATTTTGCCCAGCCCTAGAATCTGCTCTTGATTGTTCGAACTTCCAGTCAGTTAATGTGTTTTTCAGCTTGTCATACCAAGCCCTTGGTGCTTGCTTGAGTCCATACAAAGCTTTATCAAGTTTGCAGATGTGTTTGGGTTTTGTTTTATCAATAAAGCATTCTGGTTGGTGCATATAGATGGTTTCCTCTAATTCACCATTGAGGAATGCATTGTTGATATCCACTTGCCTTATTTTCCAATCCTTTGAGACTGCAAGAGTGAGAATGACTTTCAGCTTAGATGTCTTCAATACTGGACTGAAAGTCTCATAGAAATCAACACCTGGAGTTTGGTGAAAACCCTTTGCAACTAACCTTGCCTTGAATTTTTGGAATGATCCATCAGAATTTTGTTTTAACCTAAAAATCCATTTGTTTCCCACTATGTTGTAAGATGGAAATGAAGGTACTAGCCTCCACGTTTTATTTCTGATAGTGCATCGTATTCCTCAATCATTGCTTTCTTCCAATTTTCATCCTTCTAGGCCTCAGTAGGATTTTCAGGTTCAATTCCAGTTAGTTTACTTACAACTGTCTAACTGGATACGGCTTTAGGTTTGAAAATACCAGCCTTTGCTCTTGTTACCATGGAGTGTCCAGTTCTTCCTCTTTCATCCCTGTGTTCTGATGGAGCTTCAATTTCACTGATGTTTTGATCTCTTACTCCAACAATTTCATTATCAGTTAATTCATCATTTTGCTCAGATTCAGACTGATCATTGGAGATTTCTCTTTCAGTTGTAATGTTGAACTCATCGTGAGGCAAATCTGCTGATGGTACAGCCTCAGAAGGGGTGGCATCAGCTGAGTTTTTTTCTGTATAGGGAGTGAAGTATGGAAGTGGTAACTGAGAGTAGGATATGACAGTTTGTTCAGGGGATTTTGATTTATCCTTAGCAAGGAAGATTGACTCAATCGGAAATTTAGACTCATTGAAGATTACATGTCTAGATATATATATTTTTCCAGTAGGGCTAAGGCACTTGTAGCCTTTGTGAGATGAGCTATAGCCTAGAAAGACACACTTGACTGAGTGGAAGCTGAATTTCTGCCTTTGATAAGGTCTTAGACAGGGATAGCATGAACACCCAAAGATTTTTAGGAATGTGTAGTCAGCCCTTTTATTGTTTAGCACCTGGTAAGGAGATTTTGTTTGAAGAACTTGTGAGGGCATTCTATTAATGAGGAAGGTAGCAGCCTGGAAAGCTTCCCACCAGTATTTTAGTGGCATTTTGGCTTGAGCAAGTAAAGTCAGACCAGTTTCTACAATGTGACGGTGCTTTCTTTCAACCCTTCCGTTCTGAGCTGAAGTGTGTGGGCAAAGGTGTCTAAACTCAATTCCTGATTGTGAGAGATGATTGACAAAAATTCTATACTCTCCCCCCAATTAGATTGGAGGATTATAGTTCTTTTATTAAACTTATTCTCAACAAGTTTTTGAAATTGAATGAAGATGTTCAGAGAATCTGATTTGTTTTTTTATTGGATATAACCAGGTATATCGGCTAAAATCATCAATGAAAGCTATATAATATTTGAAGCCAGAGGTAGAGGGAATAGGTGATTGTCCCCATACGTCTGTGTGGATGAGTTCAAGAGGGAATTTGGCACGTGAATTTGAAGTGTTGAAAGGTAACAGATGTGATTTTCCATATTGACATGCATCACAAAAGGATTTGTGTTCATTCACTTTCAAGTTTTGATTACAATCTTTGAGTACTTGGGATAACACTTGACTAGATGGGTGTCCAACCCTCCTGTGCCAAACATTGATCAGGGAGTTAACTGACCCATGACTCTTGACTCTATTGGACTCAACTAAACACATTGAATTGCAAGGATTATTATGATATAGTGAGTTTGGATTATTTGACTGAGATTTAGGATAGGTATTTGGAGGTTCCAGCTGATACAACCCTTCTTTAAGCCTTCCGTGCAGCATTGTTTTCCTCGTTGATTTGTCCTTAACACAATAAAAGTTAGAGTGAAATTCCATAAAAAACATCATTATCAGAAGTGAGACACTTGTAAGGTTTTTCCTTATTTTAGGAACATGCAGCAACTTATCTAGAAGCAAATGTTTAGCAGTCATGGTTGGCATTTTGGTTGTGCCTATGTGGGAAATATTAAGTTTGCTTCCATTGTCAACCATGATTCTTTCCTTACCAAAGTACTTACTAGCTTGACTGAGATGTTCTGCACTTGAGGTGACGTGGTTACTGGCTCCTGTATCAGCAAACCATGTTGGATCATTCAGTATTTTTGGTGAGGCAACAAAGGCTGATGGAGTGTGGTTTCTGAAATTGCTTTGATGTAGCGCAGTGGATCCATTGTAGCTCTCATCATATCTGTAATTACAGCTATTAGCCTTATGTCCAACCTTTCCACAAACTTGGCATGTAAGTGGATGACTGAAGTTTGATCTGCCTCTATATCTACCTCCTCTTCTACCACCTCTGAAGTTACTAGTATATGATCTACCACCATTGAAGGAGTTGTAGTTTCTGCCAGAGTAGTGATTGTTTGAACCCCTTTGAGTGAAGTTTGCAGATGATTAAGTCAGATTGACACCTGCCATTTCATTCTTAATTGTATTGATGTGATCAAGTCTGCTTTCATAAGTCATGAGAGTGGATTGAAGTTCTTCCCAAGAAATAGAGTCTCTGCTGTTGATTTGAACAACAATGGGTATATATTCTTCATCTAGGCCGGCCAGAATTTGAGTGACCAAATCAGTGAGTGGTATGACTTTCCCAGCAACTTCAAGATTACTGGCAATGTGTTTTACCTTGCTCAAGTATTGATCAATGCTCAGGTTATCTTTCCTGGTTTTCTGCAATTCACCAATGAGAAAGGTGATTCTCGACTTGTTCTAAATGCCATAGCTATCATTAATTAAAGTCCACAGTTGGTGAGAATTTGTAGATCCCATAACTTTCAGTGCAATATCAGGAGTCATTGTTGCGTAAAGCCATCCCATGAGTAGCTGATCGATGGATTTCCACTTATTGAATTCTGAATTAGACGTCATCTCTACACTAATCCCTGATTCTCCTGTGATCTGAGTGCTGATAAATTCAGAGGGGCACACTTTGGTTCCCAGTAAATAATCTTCCAGATTGTGGCCTCTGATGATGGGTAGAATCATGTCCTTCCATAGGAGATAGTTGTCTCTGTCGAGTTTGATGGAGGGAGTTTGAAAGAGGGTCATACCAAACGGAGTGAAGTGGTTATTTCCCAGCATTGGAGATACCATTGTGTTAGCAATTGATTGAGCTTGTTTACTGTTGGTTTCAGTATTGTTGGCGTTTGCCATTGGGTGCTCTGATACCAAGTTAAACATTGTAGAAGAATGTATTGATCAGCTTGATTGTCGTTACAATGAGGGTGAAGTGAAATTTATACAGGTAAAGAATATTCTAGATCTTTAATCTTAGTTGTCCAAGTGTGAAAAGTGGATCAATGGTGATCCATGAATTAAGGAAGAGCACAGGGTGGTCCAGCAACAAGAAGGAGAGAGAGCTGATTGAATTCTGGTGCAACTGATTTTGTGAATCCGTGAGTGTGCCATCTTTGCATTTAGTTGATGCATTCAGCTGTAAGTTCTAACACTGTCCATAAGACAGAATGAAATCAAGTGTTTGCTGCAAAAGCTCTATCAAAATTCACACAGTGGCTTTGCAAATGTTGAACTCAAACCTTTATTTCAGAGCTGTCCTTTAATATTATTATGAGAATGGTGGCTGGGAAGCGATATTTTGGAGAAAATGAGGACAACAAGGAGGCAAAGCATGTCCACGAACTTATTGATGAAGCGTTTTCACTTGGTGTCGGTTCAAATTTAGGAGATTTTCTTCCAATTCTGAGATGGATAGACTACAAAGGGCATGAAAAGAATTTGGCTAGGCTAAGTGAGAAGATGGATGCATTCTTACAAGGTCTGATTGAGGAGCATCGCCATAACAAGAATGGAAATACCATGATCGATCATTTGCTTTCTTTGCAAGAATCACAGCCAGAATATTACACAGATACAATCATCAAATGGATTATGACGGTAAAATTTTCAGTTCTTTTTTCTCATGTCCTTCTGGAGCATTAAAAACAATTTGAATTTTAACTTAATTTGGTGTGTGAATTTGTAAATGACAGGTTATGTTAAATGCCGGGACATATACCTCTGCAGCGACCATAGAATGGGCTTTATCGGTTTTGCTCAACCACCAGGCGAAGCTGGAAAGGGCTAAAGCTGAGATTGACAGTCTTGTGGGCAATGATCGTCTGGTCGAGGAATCAGATTTGTCCAAACTTCATTACTTACAAGCAATTATTTCTGAGACTTTTAGATTGTTCCCAGCAATTATCAATAAGCTCAAGTTGCTGAAGCACATCTTCCGTTTTGTTGATGATAATTCTTATTTTTTTCTTTCAAATTCTCAGCGAGTTCCAAGTATTCTTTTCCCTGCAGGTTTAACATGACAGTATCAGAGACGCACAATGAAAAATGAAAGGGTGGTTATCTTTATCTTACCAAATATGGAGAAAATATTGACTGCACAAAATCGTCATTCCAAACACTTGGTTCATAGTTTGCAGATCTCCTTGCCTCCATGAATTCTGAAACTTACTGTAGCTTGTGTGGATTCAAGTCTCCAGGTGCATGAACTTGTAGAACTTGCAGTTAAGAAGATTAGACAGTAGTTAATAATGTTAACAAGAAAAAGAAACTAATTCTTCTTCAAGCCATTATCTAATTTATTAAGAAAGTGTATTCAGTTTTCAAATTTATCTACGAAGACAGAAAAATAAAATATAGCGAAAATATTTATACCAGGATTTATGTGAAAACTTTAAGAACAAAAGAAAAATTATTGTCTTCCAAGATTTTTGAAAGCTACGAAGAAAACTAGTTGAATGCTAAGTTAAGGAATTCCTCTCAAAATCTTGGTGTATATTTTGCAACTGACAAGCACGTGTATTTGTGAATTTGAATGCACATAGCACTGAGTGGGGTGGGGGGTTTTTGCCAATATTTTAATTACATGGGGCCCACCCACATGTGAGTGAAATTCAAAATTTTGTATCAATTATGTGCATTAGTCCTTGTACTCACAGCATTATTTATTTATAATACATTTTTATTCACCATGACCACTCAATTTGATTTTATTTCATCATGACCATCAAATTTCATATAACTTTTCACAATGGCAATGTTGATTCCCACCATTCCAAACCTGCTTTTGCCAATGTTTATAACATCTAACTCACTTTTTCTTGTCGTACATAGTTCTATGATCTATCAATATTATTCATTTATCCACCAGTCATTTATATTTAATTATAATTTAAACCTCCTTTTATAATAATGAATAGAAAGTTAAAAAAATAACTATAACAGACAAAGAACATTCTCTGAACATTGAAAAATAACTAAAACATTTGGATTTAACTTGTGAAAAAGTAAAAGTTTTGGTATTGAAATTGCAATTATTTCTTTTTAATTTTGACATTTTTTTACTATTTTTAACGAAAAATCTGACGGATGTGACGGCAGAAGGTTTTTTGCTCAAAAAGTTTCAAATATGAGGATTTTCTGTGAATTTCAATAGATAGAGGGTAAATCACAAATTGAAACGTTTATAGGGGAGTTTTCTGCAATTAATCTTTTTTTTTTAAAAAAAAATCCTCAATTATTTTCATTTTGGAATCAACAATTAAACAAAAAGAAACAAGCAACTACAAGTCAACGTCGGTCAACTTCGTCCCACACCCAAGTTCTTACTTGCACTGTCTTATTATCAATCAATAATTCTGTTTTGCGTGGTTACTCGCTAACAATTAAAAGAGGATCAGACGATTGTGTAAGGAACAAACATCTTGGAACAAAGTCCTAAAAATGGGTGTTTATTGA